CAACAATTGCTGGCTTGATGGCATTTCCGTGCTCATCACAGAAACTGCCTTCTGCTGGAGGAGAGTGCATATTTGTCAGCATGTAAACGTCATGTAAGATTTGAGGCTTTCACGGCGGTGACTATGAAGAAAGCAGTCTTCTGGGATTTGGCACCGTGTATATGTGGTGTTAACCGACGTTTCGGAGGAACGTATCGCCCCCATCTTCAGGGTTGAAGAAAAAGTTTAAGAAATCTGCAAGCGACAACACNCCAGTAGTCCTTTAGTCTGCCTCTATTGTCATGTCCCATTTGAATGATTATTCCTAGAAACAGAAACATCTCGGATTTGGTCACGTCAGGCCGCGGAGAAGGTCCGTCGTGACGTCTGTCTACGTGCTGATGGTAGTACCTGTTCGTCTCTTCCACCAGCAGACGGATAATCCCTGCGAAATACAGCATGAAAACGCAGAAGGGGTGAAATCCTTATTCACGTGTGGAGCTTCATTGGTATTTAACCCCACAGCTCCACCTGAATAATTATTCACACTCCTCTTGCCACGCAGGTGTGGTGGTCCCAGGTTGCCGATGAAGATGATGGGTCTTCATTGAAATCCATTTCTGAATCACTTTCCTCAACGCCACTCTCAGAATTGTCGAAAAAAAACAATCTGATTCGGAGTCATTTATGAGTTGAAAAATGTCTGAATCTTCCAAATGAGACGACGCCATGGTGAGCTGACAATATCACTGTTATCGCTGCGAAACTTTGAAGCTGTATGACACTGCTTGGCTGTGGTATAAAGACGATAGATAGCCTTGAGAGTTCTGATAGACTAACCGAGCAAGGTCAGAACAGAGAACTTCTTGTGTATAAACAATCTACGTTCTTATAAACGTAGAGATACACGCCCACATCTCTGCATACCGAAAGAAGGTACGTGTATAAGCTTCGAGACATGCAAGACTAAACATGTCTACATAACCATCCGCTGTGTTGCCACATCTACATACAGCATTCTTAGTTCCAAGAACTGTATGAATTCTTGTAAACAGATGACAAATTTGGGAATTTTATACTTTGAATCAGTCTAAAAAATTTTACACATTTTATGAAGTTTGTAAATTACAATATCTGATTCTATATTCTTTCTAGAAAAAAATAGCGTTAATTTGGTTCGTTTATCACAAAAATTGTAGAAATCAGCAATTTTAGGAAATGATTACAGTTTTTATTGCTTTAAAATTGCGGGTATTTAAATCAAATTCGTCCCGCTGCCAATACCGGAATTTAAAGGGCCGTCACTTAAAGGTTAATCGTGTACTCTTCCTGCCGTGGAGACACTGCAGTAGTGTTAATCGTGTACTTTTCCTGCCGAGGAGACAGTGCAGTAGTGTTAATCATGTACTCTTCCTGCCGTGGAGACACTGCAGTAGTGTTAATCGTGTACTTTTCCTGCCGAGGAGACAGTGCAGTAGTGTTAATCATGTACTCTTCCTGCTGAGGAGACAGTGCAGTAGTGTTAATCGTGTACTCTTCCTGCCAAGGAGACAATGCAGTAGTGTTAATCATGCACTCTTCCTGCTGAGGAGACAATGCAGTAGTGTCCCTCATGCACTCTTCCTGCTGAGGAGACAATGTTGTCATCTCCAAAGTGTTTGGTACTGTTGGATGCACATTACTGCCATTTAATGTGTCACTAAGTTCCTTGACCAATTTTTGAAACACAGATGAGCACAAATTCTGGCCAAGTAGATGAAGCAGAAGGAAATCACCAACCTGGAATGTACAGAAAACCCACCTTTGAGTCACCAGTTTAATTTGTATATATTCTTTGCATGAAATGCATAATTGGAAGATCAGGTTTCATTACCAGAAGCAATTAACAGAAGCTGGTATAAGACAAAATAGTTGGAGAGGTATTGCAAAATATTAACATCAATTTTTAAAAAATGAGAAAACTTAAACAGATCATGTTAACAAAAATTACTGTGAATTTCTGCTTGCAGTTCAGATAAAAAACTTGTTTCCAGCGAGCAGGTGACTGTATCTTCCAAGTCCTGCCAGTGAGATATGCAAAACTTCAGCGAACTTACAGATGTTTAGGAAATATTTATACTTCGAACTGGAACATACCTTTTTGGCGTTTATAACACACAGCATGCATGAAATTAACAGGGTCCAGAATTTGCTCTTCCACAAATCACCTTCACCATTCTTAAAGATTTGCCTATACTTTTCACATTACTCTTAACTTCTCTGGTCTGAGTCTTTAATCCTCCAAGCTGGCATTTCTTTATCCCATTAAATAAATACATGTTTCCACCATCATTTTTACAAGGATTGGATAAAGTTAGTGGCAACACCAGGGGCGGCCCGTGTATAAGCACTGCGGAACTGCAGCACCCCCAATTTCCACATGATATTATCGATAGCATTTATATAATGAGTCCTTTTTTCTTTAATTCTTTCTATATACTTGTACAATACAATATATAATCCTTAAGCTGAATGTCAGTAGCCAAATCTTTGTATGGAACTGTGTGCTTCTGGAGCAGCACCTCCACTAATTTTAGCTATGAGCCGCCACTGGGCAACACTGCTGTAAAATGAAAGCTGTGCATCAGGTGGCACTAGCGCCATCTGTAGCTGATAGCAGAAGTTCAATTGAAGTAGTGCAGTGAGTGGCTCTGGTTGTGTTTCATTGAGTTGAATTGTGCTTTGTCTTGAAGTGCAGGAGCCCTGTTCAAGCACCCTAAGAACATGTTTACAAAACAAGAATGCTCCTGGATAAAAATTGAAGTTGCACGAGGTCGTAGTGCACAAAACTGTTATCAGGGACTGCGAAAAGCATGTGGTGATGCTGCTTTGCCATATCGCACAGTGGCACAATGGGTGAAATTGTTCCGTGAAGGGAGGGATGCCATTCAGGACAGCCATTGTCCAGGATGACCCTGTGTTGACAATCACACAATTCAGCTTCTTGCTTCTTTGCTGGATGTCGATCGTCAATGGGCTGCGTGGGAGTTAGCTATTGAGGTAGGCATATGTCACAAAACTGTGCTCCACATTCTGCACAATATTCTTGGATACCGCAAAATTTCAGCACATTGGGTGCCCCATACAATGTCCAAGGTGCAATAATGGCAACGTTTTGCAATTGCACAGGACTTGTAGGATCAGTACCAGAAGGAAGGTGATGACTTCCTTGGAAGGATCGTCACTCTGGACGAAACTTGGGCTCACTCATACAAACCGCACTTGAAGCGACAATCAGATGAATGGAAGCATCCTGGCTCTCCTCATCCAAAGAAAGTGCGCCCAACACAGTGTAATGTGAAGGCAATGTTGATTGTGGCATGTGACACTGATGAAGTGATACTGCACCACACTGTACCTCAACGACAGACAGTAAATGCTGCCTACTACTGCAGTTTCTTGTGTAATCATCTTTGTCCAGCACTCAGGAGAAAGCAACGACACTAGTTGACAATGAACCCCATCATCCTTCATGACAATGCAAGGGCTTATACTGCTGACACTGTCAAGGATCTCCTTCGCCCCAAGCGATGGGAGATACTGCAACATCTGCCATACTCACCCGATATGAGTCCGTGCAATTATGATATCTTTGCCAAATGAAAGAACCCCTGTGAGGGACACATTACAACACAAGAGAGGAGATTATTCGTGTTGTAGGGCGGTCACTGCTGGACATCAAAAGAAGTGGACGCACTGATGGTGTACGAAGCCTTCTACAAATTTGGCAGAAGGTGGTACACATGGGGCGAGATTATATTGAAGGAATGTATGTGTGTTTACCTCAGGTAATAAAGTCATCTCAGAACTATATAGGTGTTGCCACTACTTTTTATCCATCCTATGTGTATATACTTCTAAAGCCACTTTAAAGCTTACATTCCTGTGACAGTATAAGTGCTCCAATAGAAGATGAGAAAATATTGCTTGAAGTCTGAAATCCAAATTGTTATAGAATCTGCTGGAATTGCAAACAGCTGCACTAATAATTGTAATATTAAAATTTCTGTATATATTGTATTTCTGTGGCAGTATCTGTGTTGATAGAGCTACAACTTATGGCCTAGCTTATAACTTGTTGGCACGTAACACTGCATATGTGGTAAGGTCCACAACTGCATTCAAATAGCCTGCGCCATCCCTCTAAAATATTCCGAAGTTTACCCTTAAAATTCTGCTGCTTTGTCTTATCAACAAATGAGATCCTTACTCTTTTATGTAGTTTTTGACAAAAGAATGCATTTTATTTATAGATATACACATCAAAGAAAATCTAAACATAAGATAACAGTGCAGCAGCAGGGACTTCTGCGATTTAAATACAGTTGTTGGGCCCAGTAGGGTGCCATGTTTTCAAGGGAGTAAAAGTTCTAGGATCCTGAGTGCTAATGGATGATTTCCTGTTACTGAAGTATGAATTTAGAAGGTACTTCTGTTTGTTCTGATTGGAATCATGTTCATTCAGTATTATAGCATAGTAGCTGTTTTCTTTTCCTGACTTCTGCACAGGCTTTGTTGTTGTATCTGTCACTGCTTAAGTTTGTTTGAACAGTTGAATATTCGCATCTTTTTTATTTTGTGGTCCTGCAAGTGCGCCACATTCATTAACCATCCTGTCATAAATGCAAAGTCTTGATACTGACAGCAGCATTAAATAAAAAACGGTAAAGCTATCCTGTAACAGGCTATGGGGGCCCATAGGATTGTGAGATGTCGAGGCTCCCACATTTTCTAGACAATGAGCTCACAGATGGCAGTGAGGTTGTCAGCCTTACATGCAGGCTACCCTTTACCCCCATGCAGATTCCTGATACTCATTTCTGTTAGAGGCCGAGTCGACCACAGGGCCATAGTACAGCTGGAAGGATTAGGTCAGTTGAAAAATCCAATGACTTCTGGAATCAAACCCACGACCTTCTTGCTTGTATCATAGTGCCTCAACCAACTATGCCACCACGTGCCCATTAAATAACCAACTTAGAAAATACACAATATGCATGAGAATTGTTAAGATGAAACCAACATTAATACCATTCACTCTGTGATGCTTAAATGTGGTATAATAAAATTTTGAAGATTCTGCAGCTCTATTAATATAATTTAATTATGTAATTAATATGATACTTTTATCTCATTTGAATTATCTTTTATACTGAACATTGCAGTCAAGTGATTGGCCTTCTGCTTCATATTCAGGAGATCTCAGGTTTGGGTCTTCACCTGGAGGCTTACTGGCCTTGCTGGAGGTGTTAATAATCTTCCACAATTTCCCAAACAGGTGCTAGGATAGTACCTCAGAGTACATCAGAACTGTTTCATTTCATGTGCCAGTTCATTATTTAGAAATCATGAAGTCATTCAGAATTATATGGCCTACGTGATAATTGTCATTAATTTAAATTCATAGGTTGGTAGGTGGTATTTACTTTTATAAGAGGTTAACCTTCCATTTTGAATTATTTTTATGTGGCTGAAACATAACTCCATTAAGACTATACAGATCTTTAAGTTTAGTTTCAACAATTTCATCCAGTTAATCATCCAATGTTTTGAGGTATTCTGAGATACAACAAACTATTTTAAACCTCTTTTATGTTGTTAAGTATGTACCAGTTTTATAGAACCAAATGTATAACTAATGTAGTTGGATAGCAGTACAGTTTTGAGATTTGTGTTAAATAATTCTTTAGTGATGTCACTATATAGTGGTACATTTGCTTGTCAAAGTTTTGGAGGCTCAAGTCAACATATGCGTATCACCAGCAAAAATGACTGCAAAATCCTGAAGACATCCATAATAGGAACAAGTACACTGATTTAAGAATGACACATAAAATAAACTGACCTGTGTCTTTGCCACAATTGTTGCCACACCCCCTGGAGCCCTGAACTTGAAGAGTCTCTTCAGCACTGTCTCACGGATGGATGGATATAATACTATGGCACTACTGTAGATGAGGGCAAGGCCTGACAGCACAGACAGAATGATGAACCAGAACCATAGGAAGATGAAGATCTTCTCATTAAGGATGTTGAGGGGCAGAACACACAGTGCATCATATTTTCTTATGCTTCCTGTAAACCAGGTTAAAATACAGCTTTAATTGAGTCTGAACAAGTAGTAGTTAAGCTTTTTTTATCATGTCACATCCCCCACATAGAGGAACAGGGTGAGGAGAACTCGGCATACTCTAAACTTTGGTATTAGATAGAAATGAATAGCCAGCTTCGCACTCCAATGGCTTTATTGTTGGGCAGGAAGTGCCAAAGGCGAACAGGAGATTGGGTGGATCCTGAGTCAGTCAAGACACATTGGTGACAAATAAAAAAATCACTGCCCCATTCAAGAATTGAATCATAATTGCAAATCACTGTCTTCTGGGATGTGACACTATATACTTTGGTAGACAGGTACAAATGTTTCAGAGGAACCTACTACCTCCATCTTTGGGATTCAAAGTTCCTCCAAAATTTTGGTGTTTTTTTAAATTGCATGGCACCTTCATAGTTGCCCACTACGAGAACCTCAGATGTCACATGAACTCTAAATGCCTGGACTGCATATGGCCACTTTACTAATGGAACTGTTTCAGCAAATGAAAATTGATGCCATAAGCAAGCACTTCTGATGGAGATGCAAGACAAGGAAGTGGGTTGCCCATATGTATCAACATTAATCTTTTATTTAGAAATATGTTTTTCTGAGAAAATTTCTCAACTGGTCTTTCCAATAGTCAAGTTTCTTTCTTGCCCTGCATATATCTGTTGTTTAAATTTTGTGCTAAAAAAACAGAAATTTTGTAAGCTGGTTCTGATCTGTCTTCTCACAGGAAGGAGGTACCAAATATTGAAATGACTCACTGGATCATTCTTTTCAGTTGGCACTTCAGTGGCTCTTTTCTAAAGGTGGATTTTTGTTTGAATAGCGAATTAGTACAGATAAAAGATAATGAAATTAAAATTATGGAAACCAATATCATGGAAAATATATACATACCTGAAGGTCCATATGTGTAGAAGAGACACTTGGTCAGTGTAGGGAATACAGCAATCATTGGATCTGTACGATTCTCCTGGTCAGTGCTTGAAAATTGAAGAACTTTTGTCCCATAATTCAAGAAACTGTGGCCCAAAAACTTGTCCAAAAAGAAAATATTACCAACCTGTTGACAAGAATACATTAGCTTAAATTGGCACCTGAAATTTTTACATACTTTTGTCTAGTAAGTAAATGCAACTTTCAAGGATCTAAGAATATATCAGAGCATAAACTCAAACACAAGTAAACACAGAAATATATGCCTTTGTTAAACTATGTGTTCCTTTGTTGGCTAACCCCCCTCCCCCCACCCCATTTTATCTATATAGTTGGAATTCTGCCCGGATATTGCACTTGCTAGTTCTGGCAGTCATTCCTCATCTTGAGGGTGCTGTGAGGAAAGGAAAACTCTATGATATGAATAATGCAGTACAAATCTAATTCTTACCAGCCTCTATAAACATTTTTATTTACTGTATGGAATGAATGCTTTTCTGCAGTATAGAAGTTGGAGTGAAACAATAAACATTCAGAATTTTAAATGTTGCATGAGCGTATGTGAAGTTATGTAAATTTTCTGAGATATCTATATTGTCAAGTCGGTATACAGTTGAAAGAAACATGATCATATGTGATTTTTCTAGTGCTTACATGCAGAAATGCAGTAATGTTCAACACAGACTGTTTAGTGACTAAAGAATGTGAATAATAATAATAAAAGTTACTAGTTTTAAAATAGTTGTTATTCTAATTTTGTATATACACACGCACACTAAATACACTACAGACAGCATACAAACAAAACAACAAGAAATTTAAAGATAAAGGCAAAAGCCCTAATATTAAGCTGCAGACCGGGAGTGGCCCATGAACTTCCATATGGGATACAGTGATTTTCCATAAGCAGAGATTACAGGTGGTTCTGTCCTTTCTGTAGGATGGTGATTCAGTGCAAAGAAAGGGTATGTATAGCAGAACAGTAGCAATGTTCACAGTGTCAGCTCCCCAGTACATTACTGTCTCTGCACTAAAAATGATATGTATTTGGCTTTTTTCTTCATTCTCAAGCTCTACAAGTCCCACTTTTTCTATTTTTCTGGTGGTAACCTTTTCCAGCCATACTACATATTTTTTCTACAGGAATCACATCTATAGAACTGAGACTTAGGCTGTTTTCTTTTAAGCAGTAAGTTAATTCATATATGACTGAACTGAAGTGAGCTGAGCGCAGAGTTTATATATCTGCTTGCTCTGCTTCAGAGGATATATTCCTTTACTGAAACTAGATATTGTATAGTCTTTGGTATATCAATTAATGATATAGATTAAGCAGTTGGCCATTAAAATTTGCCATAACCATGATGCAAAGAAACATGTGAACTTACTACTTAAGATGGCAGTGAGTGAAATTTCACCAATTTGAAATGATCTGATGGTGATCACTGTTTTGTTACCAGAACTGTAAAGTGAGGAAATCTCACTTCCCTGCTTCTGGATATTTCACAGTGCCAGAATTGTATAATGTTACTAACCCTGAAGTAGGCAGCAACAAGTTCCTCAAAAATTTCAGCAGTTTTTACTGTTATGACATGATGTGATACACAAATTCTACAGTGAATCCAGACTTCTGTGAAAACCTCTAGTCTCATTTCCCAGATTTCAGTGGATTGCAATGACCCATATGAGTCAAATCTCTGTTTTCCCTGTGTTTTAAACTATCTGATTTCCCATGTAATATGAATTGATGAAACCCACAGTATGGATAATCTGAACATTCTTTAACATTCACTTACCACATTAACAAAATTGAGGATCTCACAGAAGAAATATCCAATTGCATAGCAACCATGAGTGTGCAGTGCACTCCAAATGTACTGAAGAAGCCTGTCATAGCTATTTTCTCTCTCTTCTTTCGAATCAGTTCTGAACCCTCGCAAACCTTTGCTGATCATCTTAATCTTTCCGCCCTCCCAGTTCTTCCATAACCAGTGTGGTACATGGAACAGGGCTCCCTATAATGAGAAGTAGTAGAATATTGATTCATAAAAGCGGAGGAAAACGTATATTGTAATCACATTCAGCATATATATATATATATACATACATATGCTGAATGTGATTACAATATATATATATATATATATTTTCAGGACAAAATTGATTATTTAAAAGATTTTTGCTGCCATAAGATATTGTACAGTACAAGTCAATTCATGGAAATACAGGAAATTTTTATAATTTTTGGTCAAGTAAATACTAATGAAATGTTCTTAAAATGTATTAAAAGCATTCCAATATATTCCCATTTCTACCTCAATTTTGTGATGGTGATATTACATTATCTGTTGTTCTTAGACAGCCCATATTGATGTCAGCAGCATTTAGGAGTCAATGAATGAAATTATTAACATTTCATTTACTGGACAGCAGATGTTTCTGTATTGAATTTGGTTAATAATTCTGTGACTTTTTTAAAAAAAAATCTTTGAATTGATGTTATATAGGTATTGAGTGCTACACATTACACATATGTGTTAAAATAAGCACTGTCTATACAAGTTTATGTTCTTACCTGTAGGAACAGCACAAAGGGAACCCACTGGTAGTAATTGTGATGTTTAACCTCATGTAGCCCTGGTACATAGGATCCTACCCCAGGGGCAGCTACATGAGTCCCTACTTTCTCACCATATTGGTGGGGAAGAGTGTATGTGGATGTTATCCAGCAGTATGTATTTATCACATGTATTTTATCTTGTAAGTCATCATTCAAGCATTCAATGGGTTTTCCTGCAATAAATAGAATATCACAGCTTTTAGTTTATACTTTCACATTAAGTGCTATATATTTATTTTGCAAAATCTGTTCATAAAAATACCATCAAGATCAATAAATATAAAAGAAAATTGAAATTGTTAACATGCCGAGATTCCACATGGGGCCCTGTCTAATGGATATGAGGGACACTTCCCCGTATGTAAAGTGATCATAGCATGAAATTGAATATTTGTCTTGACCTTGTGCCAAGGTTGATTTTACTTTCATGTCACCTGTATGCCTTTGTGTCATGGTCCATAGCCACAGGGACAACTTTACTGCTTTTTACACATTACAGCCTGCAGGTGAAAGAAAATACAAAATGGAGAAAAGAAAGAAATCTTGGGCAGTAACATAGCATTACAGTATTATGGGCGAGTAGAAACACTGGAGGGAACAACTGCTTCCTCTGCTGAATGCAGAGCGTACAACTCTTAAACAAGCATGATCCCTAACACTGGAAACTGATAGTCCATAGAGCAGAAAGAATGAAAATATTCATTTCCTACATTGAGTTCTGATTGAAAAATTTCAGTCATGGTTGGAGACCACTGCCTTGACATGCCATTTTAGGAGGTGAAATACAATAGGGATCCATCAAGCGAAGATAAGTACCCAAAGCTTTGACTGATCAAGTTGCCATTCTTAAAAAAAATACACTGAAATTCCATTAAATGTTTGCTGATATAACTTCCAGTATCATCATGTGAAGAGTTCCATCTTTTGATATATAGCACCATGTGATTTGTTGAAAGACAACTGACGTTTCGGAATAACATATTGCTTCCATCTTCAGGGTGGAACAGTAAGTCAAATACGAAACCAACATGAAGCAGGCAAATTGACGCTGGGTTCCTGTTTGGCCTACTCCTATTCCCTGAAGATAAGGCGATATGTTTACCTGAAACGTCAGTTGACTCACCGGATTACACTGTTATATCCTAAAAGTTAAACTCTCGGTCTCGGCTGCAAGGACCTCATAACACGTATAATAATACGTTTGAAAGTAAAAATATGCATTTTGGCATTTCAAACTGAATATATTGTTTTGAAGGGCTTTTCTACTATTTGTCACAATGGAACCCAAAACTAATTGACTATTTTGCAACGTTGTGTAATATTGAATGACGTATAGCAGACTGATTATTGATGTGGGTAAAAGTGAATATCCTGACGTTAGATTGGAGGAACTGAAATCGATCGGGACTAATACCCCTGGTTCGGGTTCGAACTCGATGCCTCCTGAATGAATGCCAGATGTGTCACCACTCTTTAACCTTGCACGTTTATATTTACTGTACCACTAAAACCTACCAATCAAACTGTGTGCAGTGCAGAGAATGCAGCATACGAAAAGTACCGCTGATGTGACACGGTAATGAAGTCTGAATATCACGTTGTCTATAATTTCCTTGTCAGCTAGAAACCGAACCTTAACGAATCTACCTGTTCCCGATAACAGGCTGAACAGCGACATCTTGTCTCCTGCAGTCACTGTAAAGATAAATTCAGTGGCCTTAATTGGAAGGCGGGCAGACATAGACATAGGGGATTTAATACAAGGTGGTTCAAGTATGACCGGGACTGATTTGTGTGTAAACAAGCCGCACTGCGCAGCAGCTGTGCGACCTTGAGAGAGTGAAGCCACAACCTCCACACTTCCTGTTGTTCAGGTTAGAACCTGTTTTGTCCTGTCTGGGAGTTACTAGAGTGATGAGCGAACAGAAGGTACCGCGGAGCGTGGAACAACGCATTGTGATGAAATTCCTCTTTGGAGAAAATGTCCCGTCCGCTGGAATTCACCACAGACTCCAACAACAGTATGGGGAAGAGTGACTTTCACGGACCCGTGTGTTTGAGTGGTGTAAGTGCTTCAGAGAGGGCAGAGAGCGCGTGGAGAATGAACCGCAGGATCGTCGGCCGCGAACATCCGTCACCAAGCCAAACACTGATCGTGCAGACGCGCTTATTCGTGAGAATAGGCGCATCACTATCAAGGAACTTGGAGCAATGCTGTCCATCTGTGTTGGTAGTGTAGAAGACATCTTGAAATACCACCTGCACTATTGCAAAGTGAATGCACGGTGCGTACCACGCATTTATGACGGATGTGAACAAAATGGTGCGCATGCGAGCTGCCAGTCGTCTCCTACAGAAGTTTGAAGATGAAGGTGATGCATTTTTGAAGTCTGTAGTGACCACCGATGAGACGTGGGTGCACTACTTCATTCCCGAGTCCCAGCAGTCATCACGCGAGTGGCGGCATACCAGTTCTCCCAAACCCAAGAAAGGGCGGGGAGCCGTTTGGCAGGAAAAGTGATGGCACCGTTCTTCTGGGACTGGCAGGGAGTTATCCATGTAGACTTCTGACAGATGCCAGAACAGTCAATGCAGCTTATTACTCAGACCTCCTGGCAACAG